TAGTATCAATCGGCTTCGCCTTGTGATTTATCCTTCCGTCACCACATCCAATTTTGTCTAATCATGCAATTGTATTTTCAGCCGTGCCACCTTAATTCAAATCTCGTCAAATTCGAGCAGCCACTGGCGTCGCCTTTTGGGTTTTCCCTCTTGGCACATTCAAATTTTTCATTGTATTGGGTAATGCATAGGAACCGAATGTATGAATGCTCGTGCAGAAGGGGAGCTTTGCCGGGCCAAAGAATTGACAACATTCAATGTCGGAATCACAAAGCACACAGTGCGGAGGGCCAGACGGGCCATCAAATGTATAAAGAGGCCCGTGTGTTGTATTTTTTTCTCTGTGACGCCTCACAACATTCAAAGTGAAAATGCATAGATGAGTGTGGACGACGGGGGAGGTTCGAGAGAGAGGCAAAAAAACATAGAGTTAGTTCGAGTCCGGATGCATCCGAGTATGCGGGCAGAACATCACACCACACAAGGCATAAAATGACGAAAGCGAGATATTCAATCACGAAACAGGTGCCCCATAATTGAAATCCAATGAGAAAGAACAATATTGTCGACGACAAACACGGTGGGGACATGACAAACTCACCCGGAGATATCCTGGTAGTGACAGCTAGTTCTGCTCTGAACCAAACCGAGAACACCCACCAGTCCCTCACGGAAAAAATGAAAAGGAACAAATTTCGTCCGGAGAAGAACGAAATGTTCTTCTACGTCAACCCGTCTACACTACATGATCAACAAAGAGATAGACGCCTACCTACCAACATCGCAAATCGCCAAAGCTAGTCTAGTTCTGATAGAGGAGATGTGTCTATGGGAGAAACCAAAAGGTGGACATAAACCTCTCGCCAAACAGGAATCGAACATCAACATGAACACCCCACAACTAGCCCCGTCGTGCTGCCGAGGGACACCTTTCACGCGGACCTCGCGAGCGAAGTGGTCGAAAGTGCGACTTTCACCGACGGCACCTGCCACCGTGTTCAAAAATTTAACAGTCTTATCCAGAAATGCGGAGTAGAAGGAATCTTTGGATGACGAACACGAGAAAGAATCATAGATTTCCAAAACACGTCTAGAGAAGTCAATGGCTAAAAGGCTCCAGTGTTCGCCGTCCTTGTGCACTGGTACCAAGACGAGGTCATGAGACAGGAGGTCGACATCTTTAGCCCATCTGAGAACAGTTGCCGGACCTCGCAGAAGCAGTGAAGAGGCGAAGAAGGAGTTAAAGGTGTATGTCTTCATGGTAGCGGCAGTCCGGCCGCAGTCGTCCAGTAGCATCGCCATGTAGAAATTGACAACCTCATCGTTGAGCTCCCCGGATCTATCCACGAGTGCGACGATGTCCTTGACGGATACCTGTAAACTGTGCGACGACAAACGCGCGACGATGATAGTGAGCGGCAACCGGGAGCAGATAACGTCTTCAAGGACCGCTCTTCCATCTCGAGGAAACCCTGTTTAACAAACGCCCGCAACACACAGCAAGCACAAAGGACGGGGCACTATGAGAAAATGCCGTCCTAGCGGCCATGGTCCGAGGAACCGCTACTCTGTGGTCCGAAAAGTTCACGCAATGCCATAATGTCACCCCTACTTCTGGACCTTCTACACACAGTTGATTCTAAACGAGCACTGTCCTTTATATCCCTCCAAGCCTCGAGAAGGAATTCCTTGTAGTCTTTTTCGGCAACAGCCGTTGCCTCTGCAACGAGTCTTGCGTGGGAGCCCAATACGGGCACGACTACCCTTGTGGGAGGGCCTCGAGGCTTAGTGTCCCCAGGAAACGCATCAGTGACATTGCGACGACCAGTGCCTCCCGCAACCAGGACTGACAACCTGGCGAGGGCAGGCGGCTCCTACGACATGGGCGTTTGTCCACGAGTTCGTCGACGTGTACAAGAGATAGCCACCTAGAGAGTTCAGCAGGAGATCAACAACATAAGTTCGCAAGAGCAACCAAGCAAACAACACCTCACGAAGCACATCGTCACAATCCAGTTGGCGGCCGCCTATACACCTCCCCGAAATCGATGAAGCAAACAACACTTCACGAACGGGCTGACGAGCGGGAAGAAAGCAGAGAAAGTCAGTGCTTACTAGGCCTAGGTACCACTTCACCAGAGCCCACCGACGGCAGTCCCAGCATGATTGGCACCCCTGCGCGCGTCGACGCGGCAACGACGTGCTCCAAACCCACAGGGAAACTTGACAGGCTCGAGATGTCGGCGTCGATGACCGTAGACGGTATATTCGTCTCCGGACAAAGAGCGTCGACGTCCACAACATCGACAGGTTGTGTTTTCTCCATTGCCACTGTGTCGTATTGTGTTGGGCTCAATGTCCCATGGATGTCCAACAACACCTATCCCCCCCTTAACTTCTTGTCCCCGTACGTTGTCTCTTTGTCGTCGTCACTCAAATAGAGAAATCTATCTCCAACAGCGTCAGAGGCCTTCTTCAGAACGTCCTCCCCCATCGCCTCGTTGTGAAGGGCGGAGTACAAGGGATCGTCGTATCCCGGCTGAACTGGTAGCTCCATCCCGACGTCGCTGAGTGTCGGATCAATCCGGTCGTCGGTAGTTGACAACCCTCAACGCCCGTCAGTTGAAGTCCTTCGTGCGTGTGCCTCGGATGAATCCGAATCACGGTCGTCTCCAAAGATGCATCAGGGAGGGACATGTTCACAGGGCCCTGGTTCGGATTCATCCGAGCCCCCGCAGTTTCCAATGACGCCGACATGACCGCTTTCACCGGGGAGTCGCTTACGACTGCTAACTCGGCTCCGAGTAACTGGTCGCCAACTCACCCTCAGTCGGACAGTCCGCCTGCAGCTCCTTGTGGGCTTCCACGCAAAGCATTCCTGCATCTTCACACCGATCGTCTGTCATGGCAGACACGGCTTCCTGGTTCAGATGAATCCGAATTTCGTTGCCAGGGTTTTCGAAAACACGGACCACCCGTTCAAGTTCTGTAGACAGTTGTGCTCCCTCGATGGCACGACCTTCGCGGTTCAGATTAATCCGAACTTCCTTTTGAGGCGAAACGGAACAGGGTTCCAGCTTGGCGCTGTCAGACCCGTGTTATGTTGTCGTCTCGCTTCCCCGAAGGCACTGAGTTCCGGACAACGACGTCATCTCTAAGGTTCGGATTGATCCGAGACAATCCGCCAACCGTTTTTGGAGCTGAGCTAAGCATGTTCCATGCTTTGCGACACCCGCCCCGCCAACCGCATCGACAAACTGTGTTTCGCTGGTGGAGCTAATCACAAGGTCCTGCTCGCCAGGCCGCGTAATACACCCAGCACTCAAGTCGTTTCCCGTCTCCATTGAGGTGCTGCCTGTTACCGCCAGGACCCCACCGTCCTCATCGCGGTCGACATCGGACCCTTGCCCGTCTCCTCTGTGATGCTTCATCTTCTCTCCGCTGCGAGGATTTTTCTTCTCCTGGCTGCCCTTCTTCCCCTCTCCGCCGCCTGCGTGCCCCGGAGACCGCTGTTTCGTCGAACGCKGTTCACTTCCACCTCCGGTACCTCGTTGCCCGCCGCCTTCACCATCCCCGTCGCCGTCCTTTCCGCGAGACTTGCGCTTCACAACTCCTGCCGGTGGGGTGACCTCAAGCAACTCCCAACTCACTTGCTTAATTGACGGGCTTGACGGAAGGGCGTAGAACGCGGAGGACACTTCCAGCCATTTATTTGACTGCAAGAACTCGAACAGCGTGTCCCCGTATTCGCGAAGAGCAGGGTCGTCCTTAGTTCGTCGATTGACCTCACTTAATCTCTCCAATACCGCATCGTAGGCGCAAGATTCGAATATCTCGAGGTCCCAACGATCGTCATATATCCACCCTCCACTTACGTCCCTCACAGCCACTGCCCATTCGCCGTCGAAAAGGACTGGCCGAAAATGGTCTGGGTGCCACACGATATCATGGCCCCAATCTTCGGCTGTGGAGAAGGTGTGTTTGTCGCCCATATGGAAGGGAGTCGTAGGAGCCTTGAGATGTGGATGGTCCGGAGGAACTGGATGGCCGGGTCGAAGACGTTTGGGCTGCGGCGTGAGACGAATAGGCTCCCCCGGGGAACTCCTCAGACGGGACAACCCACCCCTCTTGACAGGCGCTGAGGAGGACACGGGCGTGGGACTGCCCGAGGTAGGTGTAGCGAGAGGTGTCCCCGGTTTGCATACTGATGGCGACTTAGAAACTTGGGCGTTGAAGCTGGCCAATTGCCCGTCCAAATCGAAGAGGTCGTCCTCAACGCTCTCCTCCTGCTCAATCTCGATATTGAAGTCGTCCTCCTCACCGAATGCTAGCTTGTACTTATCCAAAGTGAAGTCGGCCAGATCGACAACACCCTCGTTAAAAAAGACATATTCTAGCCTCCTAATGAAGCTCACAGCGCTGACCCGACTCGCTCCGTGGTAGCCGTGGAGGACCGCAATGGCGACTTCCTTACGCACCACGTACTGCGGGTCAAATCTCAACCTTGGTTGTTCGCCGTAAAGGAAGGAGTAGACCTGGCGCCTTTTCTTCGGAGTCAACTTGAAGAACATGTCCTTGTTCCGGTCATAAACAGGCTCGACCATGACATAGTGGAAATCGCATGGGTAAGCCTTGGACGACACTTCATGGGTGACATACTGCACGGTGTATTCGAGCTGCGTTGTGTCCCCATCCACGGCCAAGATGTGCCTTCCCTGCTGAAGCAGACTCCACACCACCTGCGCGTGTGGTTTGCCCAAGAACAGCACGACATCCGCCACACCACAGAAGAAAAGAAGTTGATTGCACAACTGATTCGGATTCTGCTCGCCGTCCTTGTGCAGAGCCCCCCTCTGGGTCAGGTTTCCGATGTCCGCGAAAGTCAAGGATTTGAAAGACTTCTCTTCCACATCCATGGGTGTCACTTTCTATTTCCTCCGTAGAGCGTCGTCGTCGTCTTCAGCAACAGCTTCCTCGTACACCGGGTGAGTCAGTTTTCGAGGATCCTCGCCTTTGAAAAGGATGTGCATCACATTCGGCTCCTCCCAAACGCTGTTTCCGAACTGATGCGTCTTCTTCGATGCCGTCTTCCGAATCCACTTCCCCGTGTAGCATCGGGTAGCCCCAAGCGCAGACAAACATGTCATGAAGGAGAGGTTCCACAGGCAGGGGACGAATACCACCAATGTCCAGTAGTCCTGACAAACGAAGCCCTGCAACTCACTYAGAGATGCGAATGCCCCAGAGTCCCATCGCGCACGGTCCACAGTACCGCATAAGTCGAGCACGCAAGTGTGGGAGCGTAGCTGATGCCCTAGTTTTCCCAGYGCCTCCTTATGATCTCTGGCACTCAATGGGTCGACGTTAAACTGGGTCAGCGTCKTCAAGGCGCTTGTCCTCRTCCACATAATRTTRATGCATTCATCAACGCCCCRAGGKTYTTTTTTGCCTTKGGCGCGATCTCCYGTGATCACCGAAAGGACGACACGCTTCCACTCYGYCGSGAAATGCTKGTCGTTGACGAGGGYCGCCGTTCTCTTGATGTTGTTGTCGTGTTGACACCCGAGAAACTGAGGGCACTTGTTGACGTATGTGGTATCCGTGAAAAATTTCTTGCTCTCGTTCCAAAGCTTGTCGTCGAGACCTCTGTCCTTGAACTCTTCGAACAGTTGYTTCTTGGACCTGAAGAACGTGGAGTTGGCATTCCACTCCCGCTTATYCATTTCCTCGTACTSGAACTCCACKTAGTGCCACAGCCTCAGCATAATCCGGTCCATTTTTATTATGTCGACCATCTCCTTGACACTGAACTTCCCCTGCTCGGCCAACTTCTTGCTACTCGTTTGAACCCACACGACGTTAAGGTTCAAGACGCCGTTCAACAMCCTTTTCTTTTCGCGRTCTKTCAAGTCCACCAATTCCTTCCAGCAGTGGACATCCGGCTCCGGAACTTGGACGTACAAAGTTTTCTCCTCCGCGCCTTTCTTTGGCTTCCCCCTGCCCTTTTTCAACGACGGGTCGTCCACCTTCACGTACCASACGTGTTTCTTCAGCCCCTGGYTGTMAGTCACAGTGGAGAGTCYTGGCTTGGCAACCTCCTCATGGGTGGGCGGCTTTTCAGTCCAACGYCGGCCGTCGGAAGCAAGGAGTTTYCCTTTCGACCACTCCTCATAGAACTTYAACCCGAAAGCGAAGACGGAGTCATCTGCCATGGCCAGCGGGAGGTAGTATCGAAGYTTCTCAGCYCATTCCTTTCTTTTYTTTGCTTCCGTTGACAGGTTCCAGATAGGCGTGTACGRCGTCTTCTTCATTGCCAACGCMATGAACCGCACCCACTTTCGCACCTCGTCCTGTTTCTTCGAGGCATTGCCGAGCACCACACGCGGTTTGCCCTTAATTTTCCAGATATTSCGAATGTCCCGCATAGACAAAACCTKCAAGCGCGGTGGATTCTTCTTGTCTTTCATGTTGTCTTCGCAGCTGACATGGGCTTAGCCGTCGAACTCGTCGTCAGGGAAGTAGATCGGTCTGAACGGCCATTTACAGAAGTTGTAGTAATCAAACACGGGATGGTCTTTCACCATCATCGCYCCCCTCGCGTTATGYTGTCCACACACAGGATAATACCAGTATTTCTCCGGGTGTGAGYTGTCGAAGTCAGCAAGCAGCAYGCGCAYAGCAGRCTCGCCGTTCTMTGGAGGTGCGACGATCTGAGCGAGAACGAAAATGGGCTTCGTGTATCTCATGTCTTTGCGTTCGTAGCAGTCGATCATAGCCGACGCGATAGTATCAACGAGGAACTCGTCCAAGGATCGGTGGTTGTACGCGTCTTCCCAGTCTGGAATAGCTAATATTCTTTCGGGATGGATGTGCAACACGACGTCCTTCTGCACCCCTGTCTGCATCTCGAGGAAGAGCGCATTGTCGAGGTTAAAGGCGTTGAGGTTAATCTCCACRTCGTCAACCCCCTCCCCGCTGTCGCCCTCGTCTGCTTTCTTCCCCCTCGATGATTTCGACMGTTTCCYGGAAGACTCACCGGTTYTTCGCCGTGTCGACGAGTCTTTTGGCGTTTCATCCCCACCTCCAACCCTTTTCCTCTTCTCAACTGAACCGCCCTCTCGTGTTGTTGGCGTCCGATCACTCCCTCCTGCCTTTCTCTGCCTTTTCAGAGCACCTACTCCCTCTCGGTCTTCCTCATCWTGCAAGTTGCGCTTGCCTCCTGGCTGAGTCTTTTCAGCCGATCTCTCACGGAACAGCCCCTGCTCGGACACCTCCTCCTCACCGGCGACGTTCCCACTTGCTTCTCGTTCCTGGCTCAACTCCGTCTGCAGTTGTGCCGGCGCTGGTCGGGCCCGGCGAGTCGTCTCATCTGACCCATGCACTTTCGAACCTGCGGACCACCCGCTCGATCTCCAGGCGAAACCTCGGCCACCTGCATGCCACGAACRAACGAACCGATCCTTTCGACCAGACCACGAGGAGTCGTCGATTCTGAGCCCTGTCGCAACCGTTCGCCATCGCTGCCTCCATGTGGCGTCGACTCCCCAAGCAAACCGTGGCGGCGAGATACATAAAGGCCCGGTTTCAAAGGAGCACGCGGATGGTCGTCCTCCGAGTCGTCTGACATGCCCACGTCTTGATGAGGAGGCGTAGCTGGCACGCAACCCAGACCTCCCATCCCCCCTTCAGAGCACTCTCTTCCCGCGAACCCAACAGGACCAGTGATCGATGTTCCAGGTCCGACGTCCACGGCACTGATAGAGGTACCAGATTCCGCCCAGACCTCGAGGAAGTCTGTGACATGAACGGCCTCGTCGTGCCCCGGCGCTAGCAGGACAAAGTGAGGGAAAGACATCGCACGACGGTCGTACCCGCCGAACATCCTCCCGGCAACCTTGCATCCCTTTGCGATGCCATCGACAGAACCATCACCTCTGTAATGCTTCTTCAACGTAAACTTGAAATTGTATTCGCCATCCTCGACCCACTGGACGATGGACCCTGCGAGACGCGTTCTGTGGGCGCGAACGGCGACGAACAAGAGCGGCCCGTACGGTGGTTGCAAAGGGTCGGGGCCGTCCTGGCTCGCCCAGTCAAAATACCTGACACGTTTGTTGTAGTCGCACCACAAGTTTTGAGCACGTCGTTCTTCCTCCGCACCTCCAACTCCCCGACTCGTTTCCCTTGCCGGCGACGACGTCGTCCCTCGACGCTCCTCTCCATGCGGGGCGGAACCACCAGCGGAGCGGCCTCGTCCGTGTGAAGCCATTCCCTGAAACACACGGAGGAAATAAACCCACATTCACTCAGATTAGTCAGCACGTCCCAACAGCAACCACGACCCACAACACGTATTCTGTTATCGGCCACCCGGACTCCAAAAGAACGAAGTTCAGTCATAGTTAGACGACAGTGGTCCACAAGCCTGCACATTTCGGATGAATCCGAGGCATCGTGAGGCATCCTCGTCACACTGCCCTTAAGAGAATGAATGGTCGAAAACGAAGACCGCGAGATAGATCGGATACATCCGAAGCAGGCGCAGTCAAAAACCCGATGTCGCATAGGCACCTGCACCGGGAAAARCAACACCTCGCAAGAAGGCCCTAGAACGCTGATACGGCAGACGAAGACGAATATGTTGTCATCCGAAGTCGACAAGTGGATTGTAAAGTCCGCCGTTGTAGCTCGGATGAATCCGAGCTCCAAAGCGGTGTGGACCACCCCCTTTTGGCCTGTACGAAACCGAACTCGAGTTTTCTTGTCCTTCTAAGTCGGTAAAGGTTGTGACTCGGATGCATCCGAATTCGAACAGCGTGATCCAGAGACGGTCGTCCACAAGAGGTCATCTACAACACGTGTTTTCGTCACTGACCTGTGAGCACTGGGTTAAACCTATCCTGCCGGAGGTTCGATTTGGTTCAACCTGAACTTCGCAAATGTGGCTCGGATTAATCCGAGACGGGGACCGGCGGATGTACCCCACGGTCTGTTGACGCCCATCCAGCCATCCAAGCTTCCGTTATTCCCCAGCTATCGTCGGGTCCAACCGAATTTCGCACGGTGTGTCTTCGTCCTTGAGTGTTTAAGACGTTTGTGGCTCGGATTTATCCGATTTTGACAGAGGCTGTCCCGATATGTGCGACCACGACAGGCTGTGCCGACACCGTTTGCTTTCGACGTACAAGTTTATCAGACCGTGCGACGTCGTCAATACCCTCAGCGCATGTGGTAAATCCGAAAATGCCACCGGTGTGGTTCGGATTAATCCGACTTCGCCAAGGCGCTTCGCTTTGTTGTCGCCCCACCACACACCGGACCTCCCCGCGATTGCCGTAGTGTGTTATTGTAATCAATGCGTTATCACGGGGGATATCGTTGTCGTCGTGAGTTTTAGTTGGTTGTTGCTCGCCCAATCCAAACAACAGTTTCGAGCTCGTTTTTCTTCCACCGAGCGTAACCATCTCGACTCGTTTTAGTTGTGTGAATCCGAGGCATCGTTGACACTCGTCATCAGACTGCCCTTCGTAGAGCAAATGGTCGAAGACGAAAACAGCGTGGTAGTTCGGACACATCCGAACTAGGCAGAGTCGAAAGACCGACGTTGTGACTCAGATGCATCCGAATTAGGCCGACCACAGGAGGAGGACATCGGCATGGTGTGTTCTCCTCAATGACCTGTGAGCAGAGGGTGGACCCTATCCTGTCGGAGGTGTGGTTCGGATTAATCCGAGACGGAACGGTCTTTTGACAGCATGTGATTTCGTCGTTCACGTTTATTGGAACGTGTGGCGTCGTAAATACCGTCTCAGCATGTGACAAATCCAAATTTGTCGTCACTAAGGTTCGGATTAATCCAAACTTCGCCGAGGTCCCTCGGTTTGTGGTCGCCCCGTGAGTTTTAGTGGGTTGTGGCTCGGATGCAACCGAAATTAACAAGGGTGGCTCGGATACGTCAGTTGTTGCGCCACCACGAGATGGTATGGACAGGGTGGGCTGTCGTCCTCCTGGGTGGTCAAACATGTCGCCGTCGACAATACCCTATGAGCATCTGATCACTCCGTGTCCTGTCCTGTGTCCAAGTCAGCGGAAGGGTTCCTCGCGGCGTTTGGCTGACGCGAGGTTTGATAGGGTTTAAAGATTTGAATTCGCGTTTGCCTCCTGTGTCTTCGAATGTGTCGTAGCAGTCTTCGGATTACTGATCTGTGATTGCACTCAGGGGGGGACCAACCTGATATCGGTTGAGCGACTGTCTGCGATAGACAAAGATTGGAGAAAGGCAGAAAACCCGCATAGACACGGAAGGGAGACTAAGATCGATGGAGACGTCAACAAGGAGAGGATGAGCAGCGAGAGAGCCTGTCTTTAGCTCTCTGTCTCTCCATGTGCAGATCTTGTGGATGGTGTTGTCCATTTCGGAATTCGCAATGTGACCCGTTAATAAAACGACACAAAAGAAATATAAGAAAAAATTGTTTGTGTCGGCGAGAGGAAGATTGGCGAAAAATGTGAAAAATTTGACGAATGTGGAGGACAATTTACGGATACAGAACCGAACGCCGAGCGAGCTGCACGATGCGACTTACGCGGGAAACGAATAAACAAACCGACCGCAATAAAAATTAATTCGGCGTGAAGAAACTCCATGTGCAATCCAGAAGAGACACGATTCGTGAGAAACCATGTTCTCGTGTTCGACAACATACGAGTGAAATCCTCATATCGCAGTTCGTGAGAGAGACAACATATTGACGACAAGTGAGTAACACTTCAAGAAAACATCTGAAGTGACGACACAATCTCGAAGGGCGTGTCGCAATATTCTCGGGCTACATTCGCGGGTCCCGTTTCGTTGGTGACCACTCGCCCCGATCAGATGGCACACTCACATGTCCACGTGACAGCTCCTGAACATGCATGGCGACGATCAGATAGAGCCCCGCATCCATCAGCGTGGCCACGCTTGTCCAGGACGTGACACATGGACGTCTGAGTGTGCCATCTGGTCAGTGCGAGTGATCGCCAATGAAACGCATGCATTGTTACTCCCGAAACTCCTTCATCTCGCCCCGATCAGATGGCACACTCACACGTCCGCATGTCATGTCCTGAACATGCGTGGCCACGCTGATGGGTGCGG